CTTTGTCTTATTTTGAGAATGAAGGACATCTTTTTTAATGTTTTAGGCTTAGTTTTATTTCCTTTTTGTGAACCATATGTTCATATCTCTTGCTCATTGGATTGTTGGATTTGCTTATTGATTTGTGAGACTTCATATGTTATTTTAAAGTACGAATCATTCATGGAAAACTGGCTTTTTCTAGGACATCAAAAAATATACAAAACTTCCTCTTTCAAGATAGATGTGTAGTTCCTCTCAGTTTTTTATTAGCTTTAAAATGGGGAATTGTGGTTTTCCTAAAATATACTTGACTGTTTTGTGCAACTTAAATTTCATTCTTTTGTTTGTTTTAGTGTTGATGGCTCCTGGGACACTTGTGGCATCATAAGAACTTGAATTGGGGCCTTACTTCATTAAGGGTAAATGAAATGAAAGAAATAATTTCAGTTGGCAGGTGTATTGGGAAATAATATAGGAATTCATTTTTCAAAAAAAAATTTTTATGGACATATTGATGTTACTCATTTGGGGTGTGTGTGTGTGTGTGTGTGTGTGTGTGTGTGTGTGTGTGTGTGTGTGTGTGAAAGAAAAAGAATTGACTTCAGACTTGGTATCCTGGTGTTATAAAAAGTATGCAATAATTCAAGGAATACTCTTTAACTGGACATAAAGAAATTGTAATTTTAAGAAATTAAATGATAGTGGAATAAGAACCTGAATTAAACATTCAAGACAACTTTAACATATTGAACTCAGTGGCATTAAATTCCTTTATGCATTAAAACTACAAACAATATTCTGCTTTAACATTGTCATTGTTAGTATTATCTGTGAAGCAGTTGTGATTTTACATTATTATCCTGTTGCACTACTGCATTTGAGAAATACTTTTCTTTACTTGGGTCTGTTATGGAGTAGTGAAAAATAATGTGTGTTGAAGTTAGATTCACTTAAGTTCAGGTTCTGATTTTACTTTCTAGCCTGTGTGACCCTGCGTATGTCATTTAACTTCCTTTAACTCCCCTCTCTGCAAGTGGTATTCATGTTAAGGGTTGTTGTATAAGTTAAATGAAATAGTATTTCTAAGGCATTGGCTAAACACCTGGCAATTAATATATATTTAATAAATGATCACTGTTATTATTTACTGTATTTTTGAAGTACATTTTATTTTACTCTAGTGTAAAACATTTTCATTGTGAAAATATCAATGTAAACAGAAAGCAGCTAAGTTTGGTTAATTTAGTGGCTACCTCTGTGGATTATTTTGAAAGCATTCTGTTTTCATCTCTAAATAATTATTATACTGTACCTGAAACTATACCATTAGAAATTTATTTCATATAATATTTTTAAACTTGAATATTTTTATTGTCTTCATTGATTTATTTTTAGGGTTTTTTATATAAAAGTGAAATATCCCCCAGAAAGAGGTGAGGAGGATAATTTCAGGGGGACCATGAGAGTCTGACTTAGTCTGACTCAGAGGCTGGCCTTTGTATGTGAACCTGTGAGTGGCAAATGAGAGAAGCAAGGGGGAAGGAGAAAGCTGAAAGAGAAAAACTTCACCTTTTCACCTTGGGCCCACCTTAAAAATATAGTGCTCTTCAGTGAGCCAAAAGAAACAGAAAATAAAAAAAAATTCATATCTTTTTAAATTCTTTTTTTAAATCACTAGACCACACCAAAAACCTGCGCACGATTGTTCATAGTACCTTTACCTGTAATAGCTCCCGACTGGAACAATCAAAATGTTCCTCAGTGGGTGGATGGTTAGACTGTGGATCATCCATACCATGTAATACTACCCAGCAGTAAAAAGAACAAACTACTGATAAATGCAACAACTTGGATAAATCTCAAGGCCATTATGTAGAGTGAAAAAATCCAGTCTCTAAAAGTTGCATACTGTGTGTTTTCATTTATATAACATTCTTGAAGTGATGAAATTATATAGGTGAAAGACAGATCAGGGTTAAGGGATGGTAGGGGGAGGGGAGTGGGTGTGACTACAAAGGGGTAGCACAAGGGAGATCTTGTGATAAAATACTTCCGTATTTTGTTTCCAGCGATGGTTACCTGAATTTACATGTGATAAAATGGCATAAAGCTATGTACACACATTGTACCAAAGTCAAATTCCTGGTTTACATATTGTACTATGATTACATAAGATATGACCATTGGCGGAAACTGGGCGAAGGGTGCATGAGACCACTCTGTACTATCTTTGCAACTTTTTCTTTTCTTTTTTTTTTTTAAAGATAACCGGTAAGGGGATCTTAACCCTTGGCTTGGTGTTGTCAGCACCATGCTCAGCCAGTGAGCTATCCGGCCATCCCTACATAGGATCCGAACCCGTGGCCTTGGTGTTATCAGCACTGCACTCTCCCGAGCCACGGGCCGGCCCTCTATCTTTGCAACTTTCTGTGCATCTATAATTATTTCAAAGTAAAATGCTAAAAAAAAATAGGTGGCTTTCATCACTAGAACAATTTTAATTTAAGTTTCTGGAGGCAGATTCTTTGGTACCCTTATTTTAGTGGTATGCTAGTGGAAAATAAAAGTAGGTGGAAGACTGGAGAAGGCAGTAAACCTTGTCATGCAAATTTAGTGAGCCACAAGAAATGTCAGAAAGCTGAATGATTTTCACAAGATTAAAGGCCTTTAAAACAGAAAGGCTTTAAAAGGAATTCATTTTTTTATGATGTTGCCAAATGCACATCTATAGTTACAGGGTGACTCTTGGTCATAGGAATGGGAAGGAAGTAGAGGCAGAATTTACAGATTCCCACAGTCCCCTCACATCTAGAGGAAGGCAATAGTGAATTTCAGCTCTCTCCTGTCCCATCCCCCTCTTTAACTCTTCCCCGTAGCTCCAGGGAAATTGAGTTTCAGTTTAATTTTTGATTTGGGGAACCTCAATTATATCTAGGTAATTTCTAGTCCATAGAACTTGTACTGGGACAATTTCCCTCTTGGGCAAAGTCGGTAGTTTGGCTGTAGCAAACTTGAATCCTTGTGGGGGTCCTGGAACCTTACTAGGGAACAAAGATTGAGTAGAAATCTTATGGACTTTGAAAAAGACTATTGAAATTAATAGTAGAGGTACAGAAATAAACTCTAAAGAGTTAATTTAAATAAGAGTGGTAGGAGTGTCCAGGTGGCAGGTATGCTTTTCTACTTTTGGGTTTTATCTAGTCCTTTCATAAACCACTTCTGTCTGGATCTCCATTTCTTTATATGCAGTAAAAGTTAATTATGGTACCTATTTTTCGTATTTTCTCATATATTTTCTGACATTATCTTTTTTTTCTCTCTCTGTTCTCCTGACTACTCAGCATCTGGCATTAACTTAAATTTGGTTTCATATGTGTTCCTTTTGAAGTAAGAATGGAACTCCCATGTGGAAATGTTAAGAGATGTGATACTTTAGTTCCGGAAGTAAATCAGAACTAGAGATTTAGACATTTCGAACTTGAGAGGCAGTCTATAGTAATGCTTGAGAGCGTGAATTTCAGAGCCACACTGCTTGGGTTCAAACCCTGGCTCTCCAGTTTGGCAAGTTATTTAACTACTCTGTGCCTTAGTTTTTCAATTTGTGAAGTGAAGATAAATGGGGATAATGAGAATATCCCTCATAGGGCTTTGGGAGGATTAAATGAGTCAACCCCTGCTAAACACTATTTGCTATTGCTAGTACATCACTGTTTGCATTTCTAATTGTCTTTTTTTTCTTCCATAACTCATATTTCAAAGCTGCCCTAACGTTTATTTATTTTGCTTTGCTGAGTTCATGTCAAGGCAGAAGTATGCCCTATGGAAAATAATGAACTGTTATTAAATGTATCTTCCTTTAAAACATATTTTTAAATATATTTTAAAACAAAATATATTTTAAAAGAAGAGTTCTGAGGGGATTTCAGTGATTTATTTTAAACTCAAACTCAATTCATGGTTGACTCTTTCTAGATCAGAGGTCATGAATAGGCAAACTATAGGCCAACTATGACAAACGTATTTTTTTGGTTCTTAAGGTGTTATGCAGCCTTTGAATTAATGCCAATATTTTATAGTTGGGAAATTTCACATGAAAATCCAGATTAGCTTTCTTTCTTTCTTTATCCCCCTAGCTTTCTTGAAATATTCGAACATCTGGCAACCCTGGGCCTTCATGCCCACATCGACAATAGTTGGTTAGAGCTGAAGGTTTTAGAATATGAGCTCTCCAGTTATTTGCCTCTAATTGTCTTATGTGCGTCTTCCAAATATGCTCCAAGCAATCTAAAAGCTTCCACAGGGCTAACACTGTCTTCCACTTTTCTCTTCCTAATAGAGTTTGTACATAACAGGTGCGTAAATAAATATCTGCGATAAGCCTCTAATTCCATAAAGTCGTTTGTCTTGGTTCACCAGCTAAATAATGAGCCTTTCTGCTAAAAATGGTGAGCACTAAACCACTTTCCATTAATATAATAATAATAATGGACTTAGCTGAGAGATATAGTGTGGCATCATTTCACACAGTCAAGCTTCCTTTATCGATCAAGTCATAAAAGTATTTCTCTCTACTCCGTGGGGACTCATTTCACTTCACACACCCACCGGATTCGTCTTTTTGTTAGCCTCCTTTTCCCACGTGGCCTTATCTGCCACCTGGTATCAGGAAGGCCACTAACTTTACCCTTGGGTGGTAGCAAAGTGATTTTCAAACCCAGACAGCGGTATCACGATTCAGAATCCGTTCCCAGGACTGTGCGAGGGGAGAGGGGCGGGACTAACGTGCCTCGCGTGCCTCGAGGCGCCGGCGCCGCTGACGTATGACGCTACCGGTTGACGCAGCCGCAGTGCCGCCCGACCTCAGCTCGAACCCCGCCCCTCCTCCTCCGCCCTCTGGGTGTCGATGGCTGCGGCCCGGGCATCGACCTGGGGTGGTGGGCCCGGGCGGATGGGCTAGAGGGTTCGGGTGCGGGCGCGGGCACAACTCCATAGGCCGCGTCCAGCTGGGCCCTCAGCCGCCGACCAAGGCCCTCAGCGTCCCTCGGAGAGAGGCCAGGCTGGATCGGCACTCGCCCAGGTGAGGGGACCGGCAGGGTTGAGATGGGCAAGCATCTTTTTCCAGTGTCTCTAGACATCGATCGGGTCGGAGTAGTAAGGGTTTTGGCTTCGTCGCTGCTCCGGCGATTCATCTCATATTCCTGTGCCATTCTCACCTGCAGCGCGGGGACCTGTAGTCCGGGAGTGGGAGGGCAGCAGGAAGGCCTGGAAGGGCCATGACAGTCAGGTGGTTGGGGACTCGGATGCAGGAGCGGTCGCTGCGGGTGGTGATGAGGCGAGTGGGCGGCGCTCCACTTGCTGGTGTGTGGACTTAGCGTGAAGGATCGTGCACTCGCACGCTCGGACTTCAGCCTTGCGAGCAGCACCGGTTTGAGGTAAACCCGACACTGCTTAATGCAGGGTCAGTTGACCAAGGGCGGTGAAACCTTAGATTCCCCGCCTATTTCTTCCCCAGGCTTGATGTGTTCTATTCTGAATTGGCGCTTGCTGCAATATATTATGGAAGAGTACATTTCAGCGGAATATCCTGTTGGTCAAAGGAAGCTGAAGTTAATTTTCCTTCCTGATGGTATTGGTTGTTTTTTTACCCAGTTGGCCTTAGTATTGACAGTACAAAGTTAGAGGTGTTTGTTAAGGGGAAAGAGTTGTTGTAAATTTCCTCTGTAAGGAAATCACTGGTTTTTCTGTCTAAGCGTGTAGGTTTCAATCGGTTTCATGTTGCTCTTTTCACCCTGTGTATAACAATGAAGCTGATTTATTCTGTCATCTAGACGAATAAAGTATAAAAACTGATGAATTAACGAGAATATTTGTTTTATGGAACTATTGAATGGTACAAACTTTAGTGCATATATCTCATTTAATCATCAACAATCCTATCGTGTAAAGTCTATTGTTATTCCCATCTTATAGATAAAAAGCCTGTAGCCCTAAAAAGTAATATGTCCAAAGTCAGAGCTGTGATTCAAACCAGATAATCTGACTCTAGTTTACAGTCCCTTAACCGATATACTATACTATCTCCCTATCATCTTAAGAGTTTGCAAAAAAAAAAGGAGAAAAAGTTTACAAGATGATTTTCATTTGGTAAAAATGTGCCAGGTGCTGAAAATAGGAAAGTAAGGCACCGTTCTTGCCAGCAAGGACAAAATAGTTTGAGAGAAAAACTTTTTCAAGGCCACACTTTGAGTATGTTTTAAAGGAATATTTATCATCCGGAATCTTTGACTACCAAACTCATGCTCATTCTATCAATACAGTGGTTTTGAAACCTTTGGAAGGTCTTAGCTTGAAAGTTGTGTTCCTGTGTAGATTTAGGATTGTTTCTTGTTTGGAAACTTTAAGCAAGGAAATGTAATATTGGACTAACATTAAAGAGTTTCCTTATGTGTGTTCGTGTGTAATCAAATAATTTAATCTGAAATGGTTGCATGGCTCATAAAGCCAGAATACCTTGTATAATTGTTTATAATGCTGTTTTTTTCAGATTTGTTAAGATGAAATACTGCAGAAGTTTCTTTTGAAGATAAGGAGGAGGAAAAACAGAACATTGCAGACTCAGAAAAAAATATTGGGTAAATATTTTTGGCTAAGATTTTTAAAAAATTGAATTTCCAATTAAAGCTCAGATAGAGAAAATCTCCTGACTTTCTGCCTCAGTCGTGGTTTAATCTGCCTGTATGGTCAGGGAATGGGGCTGAGTAATTGGTGAAGCAGGGTCACTGAACATGAATGGAATACAAGGGTTGCAGGTCAAGGATACTTTAGATTGACTTCCACTGAGATAGGAAAGAAGAAGATGGTGATGATTATGGAGACATGAATTTATCAGAGGCAGGATAGAGGTTACTCTGCAAAATCCGTGATTCACTCCTGTGATCTGTAGCATTCTTGGTGTGGTTTTGCTGACTCCTGATCTTTTGGTAAGGAGGAGAGTGAAGTAGTCTAGCTTAGGGTGACAGATATGAACCATCAGGGTAGAGATAAGTTGAAGACCTCTTACAAAATTAACTTTCTCATACTTTGTATTAGTTATCTATTGCTTAGTAACACATTATCCCAGAACTTAGTGGTTTAAAATATAAAACATTTATAATCTCAGAATTTCTGTGGGTTGGAAATTTGGGCATGACTAAACTGGGTGCTTTTGGCTCAAGGTCTCTCATGAGGATGTTGCCAAGATATTGACTGTAACTTCCATCATCCAGGGGCTCAACTGGAGCTGGATGATTTGCTTCTATGATGGCTCACTCATGTGGCTGTTGGCTGGAGGCCTCAAATCCTCACCCTGTGGACCTCTTCATAGGGCTTCCTAGATGTCCTAACAAGGCAGCTGGCTTCTGGTGCAAGTGATCTGAGAGAGAGCAAGGAGGAAGCTGTGATGCCATTTTTGACCTAGTCATGCACCATTGCCGCTGCCATATTCTTTAGAACTGAATTACTAAGCCCACACTCAGGAGGGAAATTAATTAAGTTCCACCTCTTGAAGGGAGGAATATCCAAGAATTTTTGGACATATTTTAAAACTACCACACACCTTCTATCAGTTGTCAATTTTATTGGTGGCAAATAATCTCTTAAAATATATGTAGTTAGGGCTGGCTGGTTAGTTCACTTGGTAGAGCATGGTGTTAATAACACCAAAGTCAAGGGTTTGCATCCCTGTACTGGCCAGCCGCCAAAAAAAAAAAAAAAAGGTAGTTATAGCTTTTATGACCAGGAGGTGAAAGAGAGGTACAGAAAAGTGGGGAGGTGGTTAAGTCAGATTTGTCACACTTTACAATTTGGCCTTGGTCATAGTTGGCTTTGGTCAAGCTGATCAGGCTTCATAGCTTGATATATTACCTCTTGTGTTTATTCAGAAAGGTACGGTTGCTGACCTTTGATTTAATGAGGCTCTTTTCAGGAGAATAAATGCCATAGTGGGCAAAATATGAATTTTTTATACCAAAATAACATCCGTATTAGCTCCACAACCAGAATTTTTGTGCTGCGAGAAAGGAACTCATTTTTCATAGAAAAGAAACTGAGGACTAAGAGGTGATTACTGACTGTCAACGTAAATGATACGAGAAGCAGAGACTCTGGAGCCAGATAGTCTGGCTTCAAATTCAAATAGTCTTGGCTAATTGACTGTGTTTGTGCTTAGCTTCTCACTGCCACAGCTTTCTCATCTGTAAAATGGGGAATTGTAAGTGGGTAGTTATTTGTGATGATTAGATGAGTAAATGCATGTTAAGTGTTTAGAATGGTGCCTCACACAAAGAAACAGTAAATAAATGTTAGGTGTTATTATGGTAGCTTTATTTTATCATTTTAATGGTGAGTCAGTACCATGGAATGAAAATTTTAAAGAGTAAGGTAACATTCACCAAAATGTTTAAAGTCTAAACTTTAGACAACTGACCTTATTGTACTTTGTCACTTTTTATATATATGTAAAGTATCTTTCTGTTAGCTTCATGTGCTTTTAAAATACTGTCAGATATCACCAGTAGTATTATACAGGCCATATACCCATAAAACTTCCTGAGGAAGCATTTTTTTGTTAGGCTGACATAAAAGTTCAGTTTCAATTGTAGCAATATTCTCAGCTCACAGAAATTGGCTACCAAGGGGATCTGCATAGCAATATGCTAATAAAAAATATTTTCTCTGAACTTAAATGATGAGAATGTTAGTAAATATACATGGCCAGTTTTTTCCTCTCTCTCTCCCAGGTCCCTATTTTGTTGGGTGGGTGGTTTGAATATATACGCAGGGTCTTCAAAAAGTTCATGGAAAGATTTGTATTATCTTTTAATTCCATTTTTCCACTAACTTTTTGAAGTACTCTTGTATTAGGTAGGGTTTTCTGACCCCGGTGGCTTATGGCTAGAAGATATGAGAGAAGCTTAAGAACCAGATAGTAGAAAAGGAAATGGTTTTATTTCAAGAAACCTTTAGAATTTTACTTTGCTGATACTAGCATTCTAGTGTTATTATTTGGTGTTCTGGAATTTTTGTTGTTGGTAGTGGTGGGGGGTCACTGGCTGGTAAGGGGATCCTAACCCATGACCTTGGTGTTATAAGGCTGTGCTCTAACCTGCTGAGCTAACTGGCCAGCTCTGGAGTATTTTAAATCAAAGTAGAAGTGATACATTGAATTCTTGACTAAAAGAAACTTGCAGAATCTGCATTAGCCAATGCAAAAAGCGAAAGTGAAGCCCCACAACTAATCAATTTATGGGGTATAGAAGGTCTAAACCTTTCACTCATGGTAATTTCTGTTGATCTCTTTGTATTGCTGACCATATTAAGGAATATGCTGAAGTAGTAATTAGTTCTGGTGGACTGTTAAAGGTGGATAATGTTTAAAAATTGTGGTTTCTTATAGATTTGGAGAGGATGAAGTTAGTTTTTTTTTTTTTTTCTAACCATATTAGCAGATACGTTTTCTACAGGTTTTTAAAAAAATGTATTTCAATAAATATTTAGGTGAGCCAGCATAAGTTTGTGGCTAGACCGGCCCGTGGCTCACTTGGTAGAGTGCGGTGCTGATAACACCAAGGCCACGGGTTCGGATCCTATATAGGGATGGCCGGTTTGCTCACTGGCTGAGCATGGTGCTAACAACACCAAGCCAAGGGTTGAGATCCCCTTACCAGTCATCTTTTTTTTTAAAAAAAAAAGAAGTGAGTTTGCTAAAATGCAACATTTTTGTAGGATGATATGACTTAGATGTTAAAAATTCTCCCAGTACCAGCCAACAACCCCCCCCAAAAGCAAAAAATATATCTTCCATATATAACACGAAGAACCGTTTTTGTAGCATAGATTGTGAAACTAAAAAGTACTTTTTGTTTAGTTTGTTTACTTTGCTGCTTTATACTGTTTGAATCATCAATCGCCGTATCTAAGTATCCTTCTGCTTGGTATTTCATTTGCTTCTAAGATTCATGCTCATTGGTATTTGTGGAACTATGTTGTTTATATTAACTTAGTACTTTCTTGATTGTTATTTATGCCAACTAATTTCTCTTAGTTGTAAAATTGTTATTAGTTAAATATATGTTTTCTGTTACATACTGTAAGGAATGAAACACATTTTAATCATTGTTTACTGCTGTGTATTTTATTGGGCTTTTTTAGCCTTCACTTTTTTGTTCTTAAATTGATTTTTTAAAAGAACATTAATAATAGTAGCTTAGCCACCACTTCTGTGATGTGTTTTTTGTAAAGCCTTGTGCTATAAGTTTTCTGCTTGCATTTTTTTTTTTTTAAATGCTGTCAGCATTTAAGGAAGAGATGGCCTTGTTACTATTTGGAAACAGGCTCAAAGAGATTCAATAACTTGCTCAAGCTGTTTTATAGCTAAGGAAAGGATAGAAGGGATGAAGCCAGCTTTCTATTTCAAATCTGCCTTTAAAGCCTTCTCTATTTCCAGGATACCAGACTATTTCTATTATTTTTGATTGGATGTTATTTTACCACTTAATTCTATTGGGCTCTAAAGTTAGTTAACAGATGACATTGTGTTTGTTGTATGTAGACTAGGACTGTAAGGGACCTGGAATGACTCTTCCTAGATAGAAAGGATTATACCTAATCTATTTGACCAAAGAGGATAACTGCCTATTTTATTTGCTTAAATGAACAGAATCGGACATTATGTAATTTTGATTTACATACACAAAGCCGCTGGGGCTGGCCAAAATTGTTAAGGAGGCTAAATCTACTTTTGTTGCCCACCATCTCCTTTTTAAGATTTTCCCCATCAGAAATATTAGGTACTGCTCCTTTCTTTTCTTTTTTTGGTAGCTGGTTGGTCTGGTGATCTGAACCCTTGACCGTGGTGTCCTAATACTGTGCTTTATCTAACAAACTGAGGTAACTGGCCAGCCCGGTAAGTGCTGCTTCTAATGACTCTAATGAATCAGTTTACTCTAGAAACACATGGTAATAATTAATAGTAGGTATTATTGAAATACCATAAAGATATCTTTGTATCTTAAAAGAGAATATTAATTAGTATTCTTGTGCTTTTTTTTTTTTTTTTTTTTTTGCAGCTGGCCGGCCAGTACGGGGATTGAACCCAGAACCTTGGTATTTTCAGTCCCTAACCAATTGAGCTAACTGGCCAGCTGTGGTTAGTGTTCTATTTAAAGGAATGGATGGTGGAATTTTGGGCCTTATATCCCAATGGGTAAAATTTCGGGGGCAGAGAAGTCTCTTCAAATCACTATGCACTCAATGGGTAATGCCAACCTTTTCCTGCATTCCAATACTGTCTTAAATATATAAAGTTTAAATATTTTTTATGTGAGATGTTCAATTGCAGTAGACAGGTCTGTATTTTGTTTACTTTATTTGTGTAGCATCACAGAGTTGGAAAGAGCTTCACAAAGTCATTTGTTTTAGGCCATCTACCTTTAGATTGGTGAGTGCTCAGACTACCTGTGTCACTTTAGAAACCGTTCACACAACTTAAACACTCCTTGAAACTTCATTTTGAAGTTTTGTAGAAATGTTATATGATTTGATTTGTGTTTTGTTTTTGTTTTGGGATGTCCTTATACTATAGGAGATAAGCAGTCTGTCCAGGCAGTTCCTTTGTGTGGTATTTACTGAGATCTTTGGGTCAATTACTAGTTTTCTTAATTGTTAAGGAGGAGATAAATTACTCTGAAATTGGGAACCCTACAAAAATATCTCAAGATAATTTGTTACATAAGTGCAGAAACCAAACAGCTGAAATGTTTTCAAGTAAGTATATGTTCTGTAACAGTTAATATGTATCAGTAAAATTTGGCTAAGCAATGAAGAAATGAGATTGTACGAAGTTCACCGAATTTCTAGTATACAGTAATGCTGTATGTGCTAATAGGTGCTTAATCTTACTTGATGATGAAGAAAATGTGAATGTTGATGGAGTTCAAAGGAAAGCTATAAAGTTGATTTATTTTCTAACCTCTAAAACCCATGGAGTATCCTTTATGGAAAAGGAATGGTGCTTAAATCCAGAAAACTTTAATATAATGGTCTGAAGATATGTAGATAGGTTTTATACAAATAATTGTAACTTCATTGTTGCGTGAGGGACTTGAGTATGATTAAAATTTTTTTCTTTCATTTTTGTTATATTTGGAATTGGGCTATTAAAATGTTGAATATTCTCTTTATCTCTTAAACTCCAGCAAAGGAGAACCAAATTTTCCTGAGAGGTAAAAAGATCATTTAAGCGTCTCTTTGGCCCTGAATACATTGTAAATACTTGCTTATGTTTGGCAATAGCTCATAATTATGTGATTTTTTTATAATGATGTATTTATTTTATTCATTTATAAAACAAATATTTATTGTGAGACTACTGTATACCAGGAACCTTGTTGGGTATTGCACACTCAAATGAATAGGGCAAGGCCATCATTAAGGAGCAGCTGCCTAGTGGGGAAGATGGACTTCTAAACTGATAATTACAATATAGTGTGATAAGTGCTAAGATACAGGTATTCATTCAAACAGCATTTATTTAGCATTTTTTATGTTGTCAGACATTGTACTAAGATTATTGTAAATATTCCAAATCTTACACTTAATATTCAGAAATTCTTAGCTGTATGGCAGAATTTTTAAGCTTAATAAATATTTGTTGAATGAATAAGCAAAAAATAGACGTATGTTATAAGACAGTCTTACTATGTTGCTTCAAATAATCAAAATAAAGTGGATACTTTTCCATGACAATGCCAGGGTAAGCTGTGGCTCTTTATAGCTAGGTCTTTTCAAGTAATAGTCATGTTATATAGCCATTTCAGTTTAAGCCTGATGTAGGGAAATCTTTCCTGCAATTCTGTTCAAATTATGGGGTGATATTTGTTTTAGAGGAGCGATGTAGCCCTGGGAATAGATTTACTAGTGCACTGAGCTTTCTTGAGGACCTTTGGACAGATGCACAGATGGAAGTTGGGGGGATTGTTATCACCCCGTTCTTCTCAATCTCCTTTTCTGATTTAATCAAATTATTCTTGCTGAGGTGGGGTAGAGTTGGGGAATAAGGGGTACACTGTGAAGATGAAGGCCCTCTCATCCATATTTCCTTTCAGCTACCACCCTAGGGCCATCCTTCTGCTAGCTGTTATAAACATAAATTAAACTTTAAGAAAAATAGAAGAGGAAAGGGGACAGTAGAAGGCAATGGGGTTAGAACCAAAAAATTGGGAGTAATGAGAAGAATGGAAAGAAAGGGATGAAATAGAGGAGGATTTAAATAAATATGAACTTGACTCATACTTTAAAAATATGTAGAAGTATGTGGTGCTGATAACACCAAGGTCAACAGTTCAGTCCCTGTACTGGCCAGCTGCCAAAAATGAATGAATAAATAATAATATTTAAAAATAAAAATATATAAAAGCAATCAGATTCCTTCATCTTTCCACCACAGAATCTCCCTGCACCTGGGTCTTTCTGTTCAGATGAAGGAAGTGTTTCTCTTTCTGTCAAAAGCTAGTTCTTGCACATATATGTGCTCTGGATTGAAGTAAGATTTTTACAACCTTACAATATTTTATTAAATATTATGTGCTTTAAATTGTATGGTTTCATGGTCTCTTCTAAAGAACAGGGTCATCTTTCTTACAAAAGAAAATTATCCTCGGATTTGATAGAACTAGTTATAAGTAATAAAATAGTGTCTTGTTTTGGGATTCTGCAGAAGGTAACCTTGGATAAGGGTTCAAGTGCAGGTAGTTTGTTTGGGAAATGATCATAGGAAACACTGGTAGGGTAGTAATGAAGTAAGAAGGGAAAGGGATGGAAGCAATAAAGGGCATCATCCTGGCAGTTACCACTGTAGGCATCTAGAGCTCACTCCTACTGATGAACTTTCAGAGACCAAGTAAAATATGTCCCACAGTTATCCTAAGCTATGAGATTTGAGTGTTTATCCACCAGCTTCCTAGTCACCATTGACATTAACTTTGGCATTTCTACCTTGCCCTTGAGTGCAAGCTGAATGTGTCCTTGCAGTCACATAAGCTGAAAGCAGCACTCAGCAGACTGTCACATAATGAGCAATCTTTCTGTGTAGAGGTGAATGCCAACAGTACATGGGCAAGACACTAATAGCATTGGCTGCCAATAGCAAACATTTATACAGTTTAATATCCATGATGTGTCATACATTGTTCTACATGCTTTATCTGAACTCATCAATTCCCACAATACAACTCTTATGAGATAGGTACTATTAGTACCCTCATTTTGCACATGAGGAAACAGCACAGAGAGGTTAGGTATTTTACCCACGGTTACACAGCTATAATTTCAGAATTGATATTTGAACCCAGTAGTCTAGTACAGAGTCCATACTTTTAATACATATAGTGGGCTGCTTCTGGAACAATACAGCCCAAAGCAGATCCTTTTGATTCTACTGCCCTTCTTTGATAACTGCCTCTTCTTTCTCCCTTCCACCAATCTTTCCTTTTAGAGAACACTTTACTTTAAAGAACACTTTACTTCCTTATTTGTAGCTATCCTCCCCCTTCTACCATTCTAGAACATTATAGGCATTCCTTCTTTCATTCTTACACTCAAGGCTGTGATAACAAATAATTCTTGCTAGGGTGTACAACTGATATTTCTGAGGTTATGTGATGAAGCCTTCTGAGTTTGATATTGCTCAGTGAGTATTTGCATTTTAATTTTTTAAAAAAGACAACTGTTTACAAATTATGAAAAGAAAGATGTGATGGTAGGATGACAGATGACTAAGGTACTATTTTTGGATTTGGACACCCATTCCTTGGCCATGGTTGTAAGGAGAGGCCAAGAGATGTGTGCTTGAGCAAGAAAAGCCCCTTTTCTACCTGTCACGTCCTATCCTACAGTCACCACTTTCCCTTTTTCTTTTTAAATAATGTAAGTATTACATGCTAATTGTAAAACATGTAAACAATACCCAAGTGTCAAGAGTAAAAGTTAAAGTCCTGCTTCACTGCTTCTCCTTCCCCCAGAATCTCCTCCCACTGCTCTCTCCAAAGATAATCTCCCTTATGGCTTTGATAATGTTTTTGAAGATAGAAAAAAAAAAGTATGTTATGTATCATATGCATATGATACATAATGCATAATTTTTTAAAAACATAAACGGAATACTATGCATTTTGCTTCTCAGCTTGCTTTTTTCCTGCTAATGTTGCATGCATCCCGGACATGTGCTGTGTCAGCTGGTGAGAGCTATCTCATTCTTTTAAAAGGCTACATATTATTTCATAGAAAGAATGTACCATAATTTAACTCTTTTCCTATTTATAGACATGTTTCTCGGTTTGTCATTATATGATATGTGATATGGCAGTGATTGTCCTTGAAAAAAACATCTTTGTGCCTGAGGAAGTATTTCTGAGGAATAGAGTTCTAGAATTGGAATGTCCAAGACAAAGCACATAAACTTTCATAGTTTTTATGGTATCTGATAAGTTGTTCTCTCAAAGACTGCCAGTTTACTCCCATCAATTGTGGCATCAACTTGTACATAAATCTGATAGGTAGGCAATTTGTTAAATTGAGTACTATCATTGTACAGTGTTTAGTGATGAGTGCTTACAGAGATACTGTGGCAACTTTTTGACAAGCCTGGGTAAATTTGTCTAATGTAGATGGTTAGTAGTTATTCCCTTCTTATTGTTAAGATAGATATTTTTTATTACACTTGAGAATATTTTGAGCCAGAGTATAATAACTCAATCTTAGTCTGTAATCATATTTAGAATGGTGAAATCAGGACATTACAAATATGATTCATTGTCTTATATTTTAGATAGAAGTGTGGACATATTTTGTTTTTGTTGTTTGTTGTATTTTTTTTTTTTGACCGGTAAAGGGATCACAACCCTCGGCATGGTGTGGTCTGTACCACGCTCAGCCAGTGAGTGCACCGGCCATCACTATATAGGATCTGAACCCGTGGCCTCGGCACTACCAGCACCACACTCTACTGAGTGAGCCACGGGGCCGGCCCTGTTTGTTGTATTTTTGCATTCTCATCACTGAAGGAAATAGAAAGTGATTTATTAAATTCACCTTTTTTTCCCTTACATGATTTCTCTTGCAATTTTCTAAATCTCTGATTCAAAATTTAACCTTTGGCTTTTTTAGGCCTTTAGATGCTGTTCTGGAAAAACTTAAGTAATGGATCAAAGGAAAAATGACAGTATTGTCCCTAGTATCACTCAGTTAGAAGATTTTCTTACAGAACACAATTCCAATGTTGTTTGGCTCCTTGTTGGTAAGTAGAATATACTTTCTTGAACTTTATTGTGTTTTACATATAGATTAACAACAGTCAGATTTTAAGTAGTCATTGACTGAAGTTGGAATCCTTACATTTACTTATTTTTAGGAAAGAAGTTTTTAATTTGTATTTCTTGAATGTTTGCTCTAGAAACTGCTCTGGAATGCTCTTTACTTTTTCTTAGGCTGCCTTGTTTTCTGATTTAGGGAAGGTGGGAAGAGAAGGACATTACATTTACTTAGTTTATCTTTCCTCTTTCATATTCCCCTATCCCCCAACACACACACACACTTTTGTTGATTTGTTTCATTATAAAAGTAATAAATCCTTATGGTAAAAAATATATATTTACAGTAAAATAGAATGTATGTGCCTCATTAATCTTTTAATCTCTTTCTTCACTCCTTATGTACTTGTCAGTGGGCCAGCTATTAATAATTTTTTGTATAATCTAGAAGTTTTCTAAATATATTCAAATAGTTCAAAACAGTGTATAATTAAATGGTAGGGAGAGAGGGAGGGAAGGAGAGAATGTGAGTGAATGAATGAATCAGTATGAATGAATGAAAAGGAGAAATAGAAAAGTAATAACAGAGAATGAAGATATTGTCAGAGGCTGTTATTGCCAAGGAAGTTTTTGTGAAAGAATGGTATTTGGTTTGAATTTAAGCATAGGAATTGTAAACATAGAGAGGAAAATAGGCAGGGTAAGATGGGGTAAGAGAGGAAAGGGTGGTTAATGATTTTTGTTGAGCATCTTCTGTGTGCCAGATACCACAGGAATTTTGCATATGCTTTCTCAATGTCCAGTGCAATCTTATGAAGGTTGGTTTTATTCTTTTCCTCTTAATATGTTGGGGAATTGAGGCCCACAGAGATTAAATAACTTATAAGGGTTACACAGCTATTTTTTTCTGAGTGTATGCTTAAACTTTTTTCATGACACCATAGGATGTGGGGTAGGCGTATAGGTCTACCTATAAGGTATATATAGAAGGAATTATAGTGCTTAGTGATTTGTAGGTAGGATTGGGTTACCATTTAAACTTTGAGTTCTATATTTTCTATTTGACAAAAGTCAACTGTTACCTTTTAGTTTAATTAAGGCAGAATTCTTCCTTATTTTCCATTTGTCCCCTTTCCTATCACTTAGAATTTGTCTTGCTCTTTCCTCTTCTATACAACCCCTTTCTTAAGGAAAAAACTACAGCAACAAGCAGGCAAACAATCCCTTTGTTTTACTAGTGGCCTTATGATATTGAAAGGAGTAGGGGGGTGGGGCATGATACGATGAAAAGGCCACAGTTCTAGGTTGCTTAATTCTAAAAGCATACTTTCTCAGCAAATGCCTCCTGCCTTTCTGAAGGGCCCATAACAACCTGCTGTTGACACAGTAAAAATTTTTACAAAATAATTTTAACCTTAAAATACAATGGCATATCATCAAAATAACTTTTCAAAAGAATTTTTCTATAAATAATTTTTACGGGAAAATCACTTGCTGTATTAAAGTCATTACCGTCAATCTAAGCTACCCTGAGAAATATTGTATTTTATTTTGGCTCTCAGGGACAGTTTTGTTTTATTTATATTACATAATTTTTTAAAAAGTTAAGAACTTAATGTGCTGTTGCTCAAAGGTTACACATGTTAAGTTATGTTACTTTCTCATAATTTAGAAGATAGTTATACTTTTAAAAAGAATAAGTAAAAGAAAATTTATCTTTTTTAAAAGATAAATTTAAAACATTTTAAAGATTTTATTATCTTTTTAAAAAACTTTCTTGTGTTTTATCTTTTGTATATTCAAAACTAGGTTTTTTTTGGAATATAAATTTTATAGTTGACTAAAACCTTTCATAAAAAATCTGGTCAAATTTGAAATCATTTACTTTAGCATATTCAGTGACATTATTCAAAAGTAGGTTATTGTCTTATCAGTTACAGCAAAATATATGGTATAAGGTGGGATACTTAATATGTCTTTAGGCTAAAATTCCCGCTTCTTTTCCATCACTTTTTTAAAGCAGAGTTTGCCGATTTGAAAAACAATGGCTTTTCTCTAATTTAGAAAATCATCAGTTTTCTTTCTTTTCAAGTGGCTGTAGGCTCTCTGAGGAAATAGCTTGGGAATGAACTTGCATATGAGATCTTGGCCTAATAAAGGTGGATATTTTTCAGAATATTCAGAATATAGGCTTTCTTCTCTAGGAACGTCTTTACATATGTTTAGGGACTAAAACAGTACAATGCAGTGAAAAAGGAAACAGAAAAAAAGGAAAGATGTGTTTGAAACATTGTTTTAATTGATCTGATGGGAGTCTGCTTTTCTGGCTAATGAATGAAGAAAAGGAAGAAAGTTGGGTAAAGGAAAAATCAGTCTCTGGTTTTAAAATTCCAAATATTAAAATGTTAAGAGGACAGATTACCATATGGAAGTAAATCCTATAATTTCTGAATGTTTTTCTCCCAACAGCTACCATTTTGTCCTGTGGATGGATTATTTATCTAACATATTATAATTCTCGGAATGTTGGTCTTATTTTAACCCTGGTTCTTAACAGATTATACAAGCATGGCTATATCCATATTGGTAAGTTCGAGTAAAACTGATTTTTTTCTTCCACGTAATCTTGAGATGTATATTATAAATTTATATTTTATAAACAGGTAGTAGCTTTAGAAACTTACCTTTGTTTCATGAAGGTTTAAATAATGTAACTGGAATTTCTCTCACACCACTCTTTGACTAGAGAGGAACTACCACTTGGTTATGTCCTTTACCTCATACCTGTTTCCTAAAGTGTTTCTATAGTAACTTTTTAACTTCTTTTTTCTTTACAAGAAAACTTTTGTTTTCTTGTAAAAGATGCTCATTAAAAGAATTAGAAAAATTTAGATATATATAAAATATGGAAATAGAAGTTTCTCAAGAGTCCACCATCCAAAGAAAATTTCCAATGCCTGATGTAGTTTTTGCCTTTTTTTTTTTAAAGTAACCCATGCTTTAAAAATCTATACATTGGAGGACCAGCCCGTGGCTCACTTGGGAGAATGTGGTGCTGATAACACCAAGGCCACGGGTTCGGATCCCTGTATAGGAATGGCTGGGTAGCTCACTTGGGAGAGCGTGGTTCTGACAATACCAAGCCAAGGGTTAAGATCCCCTTGCCGGTCATCTTTTTAAAAAAATATAAAAATAAAAAATAAAATAAATAAATAAAAATCTATAGATTGGAATCATCTTGTATATTTCATTTTGTGGCCTGCTTTACTAATATAATTTCTGACTACTTATAAGTGGGAAGTTTGCAAGTAGATAGGAGGGTGTGTTAGGAAGCTTTGTGCTTTGGAATTCCTTATATCAGTGGGAAAAATGTTGGGGGGGAGCAGGGAGGGGTGACTGCCTAGAACCATTCTAACCTTCCTTATAGTCGTATACCTCGTAGTGGACATAAATAAAACCTCTCTCAAACATATGTAGTCTTCCATTAATTTGAGGCAATGGCTGTTCTTGTAGTCCCTCAGATTAATGGAGAAAAATGGTGAGTAAGTCACTGTTTTGGGTTTATTTAATGGCCGTGCATAATTAAGGGTATGATCCATAAGAAGTGGCTACTTAAACTAATGTCCTCATATGGTTATTTAGTAGCTCAATTCATAGTGATGATACATGTGGCGTTTTTTTGTTTACATTATGAAAAAATGATAGAAAATTAATAAGGCTGTGAGGATATGAGGAAGGGAATGGAAAGAGATCATTAAATTAAATTAAATGCTAAAATTATTTTAAGTTTTAAGGGTTCTACTATGTATTAAACAATTACATTAATTACTGTTGTTTTTTTCCTACAACAGGCTCTTTTTCTTTTTCTGTTCTTTCTGGAAAAGTCATGGTTCGTGAAATCTATTACATTACAGAAGATATGTCTATTAGGTAACAAAATTTAAAAAGTGCCCGTCTTAAACAAACTTGAAATATTGTAAAAATGTTCTGATTATTTTATTGAATATGACTTGCTTCTTCAAAACCATAAATCAAAAATCATTTTTTTCCCAGTAAATTGTACTTGGTGAATTGATGTTTTAAAACGTTTTTATCAGTAGAATAATCTTACTAAAGTTTAGACTGGCAAAAAGTTTATCAAATAGCAGTTTATAGAAATAAATAACCTCATTTCATTTCTGGATGAAAAATTGAACCACTAAATTACCTATCTTTGTTGTAGAGTTCATTGTGGTCATTTGTTGTATAAAACAAGGTTCAGGGATGTTGATAGCTCTTATCCATTATTAGAGGTTATCCTTACTAGAAATAATGAATTTATGGAATTATTTAGCATCTGTTAGCAACTCTAATTTTACTCTAAGAAGGAAAAACAAATTTAAATATAATAAGAAATGATAATGTGTTTGAAGTGTTCCTTCTTCAGTAAGCCTTGAGAGAAAAGCCTACTCTACTTTTGTGATTTTCTTACAATTTGTAACTTAGAATTCAAAAGCTTTGAATTTTTTGAGAGGTGCTAGGGTTTGGCAGCACTCATACCTCACTTAAAACTGTAGCAGGCAACTTCTATGCTAGTCTAAAGTTATTTCCAAATCAAAAGTTGAGAAAAAAAGTTAAGAGGCTGTAAGTCCATCCTTTGGGGGCATGTGGAAATAGATCATTTACAGAAATGAAGGAAGATCTTTCAAGATTTGGCTTTTTGTTTATATAATTTTTATACTTTTAAAAACATCATTTTTTTAAATTAAAAAAATCATTTAAAAAAGAAAAAATTTCTATATCACTTCATTTTTCTGTTAATGTCATCTAGCATTACATTTTACCAATTAGAATCTAATATTTCAAAACATGTCATACATGATAAATATATAAATTTTGATTTGTCAATTAAAAACAAATTAAAATAATCTAACAAAGCTATGCAAAGTCTCTTTTCCTTTTTTAACTGGAAAATTATGAAACATTATACTTTTGTAACTCTTAGTTCTCAAAAAGATATTTATGTATGCCAGTGTCCTTTTGAGAATTTTCTGTATTTCCTTATTCATGATCAATTGTCTGCTTTTTGTAATAACTAAGAAATGAGTTAAGTAAATTGTTATTTAAGTTCTCATTTTTGTAATCTACCTTGCTTAGAATTCAAGATGGATTTATCATTTTTCGGTGGTGGAAAATGTATAACCCAAAGCAGAAGCAACATGGTGAGTTTTAATTTTTTTCATGTGTTTAAAATGTCCAATCATATAATCAGAATTTTTATTTATGGATATTTAAATGTTTCAGATTTATAATAGTTATTTTTTAAAGTTCTGGAGTTTATAAAACTCTAATTTTATCACTGCTTGGTTGAAAATCTTTCAGCAGCTTTCCTGTTGAACCTATTGTTTATTCAGGGTTATCCTCAATATAACCTCTACTCATATTTCTAGCCTTTGCTTATTATATTTGTGGACCTAATACATATTGTAGTTCACTGGCCTCCCTAGCACTCTAATCTTTCTAAGACACCTCCTACTTTTCAGCTTCTATGCCTTCATTCATATTTCTACCTGACACTGCTTCTAATTCTCTTTTATCTACTGTGATAAGGATGAACAGAAAAGGGGTAGTGCAGACCCCAAACTAGCTTCTGGGTTTGCTTTTGTCATCAGAGCCTTATCTTTGTCATTACAGAGTTTTCTCCCCAAATCCTTATTTCATGACTCTATGAGTGCTTCTGTCTCTGCCCCAGCCCTTCTGTCTATATTAACCATAACAGTGGCTTCAAGGAGAGTAGACCCTGTCTTTACTGTCTAGAGTAGTGGTTCTCAAACTTTTGATCTCAGCAACCCTTTACACCTAAATTATTGAGGACCCTGAGGAGCTTTTATAAACTCATATTTATGTGAGTTTTATCTATTTATATTTATTGCATTAGAAATTAAGCCTAATAATTTAAAAAATATTTTCAGTTCATTAAAAATGTTGATAATACATTATATATTAAAATAAATAACATTTTATGAAAAATAAATTTTTAAAGAAAAAAGTAATAAGAGTGGCATTGTTTTATATTTTGTAAATCTCTTTAATGTTTGACGTAATAGAAGATTACTGGATTCTCACTTATGCTTCTGTATTCAGTCTGTTGATGTACCATATGTTAAATAGCCTTTGAAAAACTCCACTCTCCACTCATGGGAGAAGGGTTTTGAAAAAGTCAAATATGTCAGCTAATAATACTATGAAAATAGTTTTAACCTTTCGGACCCCTGGAAAGGGTCTTGGGACTTTCCCAAAGGTCCCCGGACCATACTTTGAGAACTATTGTTCTAGAAAATTGTAGGTGGGGCTTGGGTGCTTAAGGTCAGAAGAGGGTGAACTGCTTTACCTTTTGTTTAGCTATCAGGATCATCTGTGTTTCTGGCACCTCATGTTGAGGTTGAAATGATGGTTAGTTTTTATATAACTTTGGAATGTTCCAATTAGTTGTGTGTGTGTATGTGTGTGTGTGTGTGTGTGTGTGTGTGTGTGTGTGTGTTTGATGGACTCACTTAGTAATCTTGCCATCATTTTTATTTATTTTTTATTTTCTTGCCATTATTTTTGTAACTTTATTTCTATAGGAAAATAGGTTTAAATTTCCAAAAGTTTAAAAACTTATCACAAGTTTGAGCCAGCCTAAGTTACTTTAAATTTCACTATTCAATATTATTTAGTCTTTTTTCTTTTTGCTATCATTCCCTTGCCCCCATGTAACTTTCTCCCTTTTATGTAATATATTGGGTACTCTTCCTTAAAGAGGCTAGCATGAATGGGTTAGTATTTGGCATCTGTAGAACTAATGAAATCAGAATGATTAGAAATTAGAATAAAGGGCAGATTTCTTTTCTGGAAAAAGTATTCTAACATCTAGAGTTGTTTATTAGAGAAATTTCATCAGAAGCTGTTTTATCATGTGATAAAGTATTCTGAGGGAGTTTAAACTGACCTTTTGCAGTTTTTCACCTGTGATTTTGAATAGCTATGTGTTCTTAACAGTCTCTAATCTGTGATTTTAGAATATCAGTTGTTAAACCAGCATTTTTACCTCTTAGCAATTGCTATAAAGCATTCTTATGGGAAAAAATTGTTCTTTACTTGGTCAATATGTTAGTGCATTGGGAATCTTTTCAGTTTTGACTTTTCATACTGAATAAATTGAAAATAAATTTGTGAATAAATTCTAAATTCGAGTCACTCTTCTACACTATTATCCATGTTAAATTTTGTGGATAAATTATTTTTGATTATTTTTTGAATTTTATTCGGCTGTAAGCCTTAACAGTGGAATTTAAGTAAAGATATGTTACTTGTTCATAGTGCAGAGATGGCTAAAATTTATTCCTAAGAGCCAAGACCTTTTGACTTTAGTCCCAGCTTTTGACACATTCCCTTAACTTTCAGCAGACCCAATATTCCTGCCTCTGATTTAGTTTGTAAGGTATATCTAGTTTGTTCCTTAGGGATAGATTTACTTTAGGAGCATATTTTCCCCTGCATGTCATTCTTCTGTTAATCTGGCAGTCTGTTCATTAGATGATTTACTCTTTTGACTTAATCTTTTTTTTTTTAAACATGTTTAGTTAACATAAGCTATATTGTTAAGAAGACTGCAGTGGAGCCAAAGCAAAAATCCTCTTGGTTTATATAGCTGGTTTATGATTTTAAAAGAAAAACATACTTTTTTGTATATTTATATTAGAAATTTTATTCTAAATTATTTTTAGTGTTTAGGATGTTCATATGAACAGATAGAACTGTAGGGGGGCTTGGTGAGGTAGAGAAGGAGGCCCGTTTGACCTAGCACCCCCACCCCATGCTGTTTACCCCAGGATTCTGAGAAACACAGTTGGAAAACAATTGATCTTCTCAAACCCCCTCATCAAGTTGGAAATAACTAATGTTTTAAAACCCCCCTCATTTTGCAGATGGAGAAACAGAAATTCCTGTGATTGTAACTTGTAGAGCCAGAACAAAAGCTATGTCTGCTAACTTCCAGTCTAATGCTGCTTATATTATAAAACAGCCTTGTCAAGTGCGGCCCAAATAGGCGCTTGGAAATTCTTACCATAAACACTGATTGCAGTTTATGGGGGGAATGATGACATTTGCAGTATCCAGAGGCAACTGAAAGTTTTAAAGCTAAGCCTAATGGGATTGTCCATTTCTTAGACATGAGGACTACAATCTTAAATCGCTTACAACTTTTTTTTTTGAAGAAAGTAGTTACTTCATTTTATCATGAAATACCACATCTCCTTACAGTGGATTGTGCTTTACCAAAATATGAGGATGAAGTCAATAGTAACTGACTCAAGTCCTTCATAAAAGAGGTAGTTTTTAACAAAAATCTTTACTTTATTTAACAAGTATTTATTTGGCATTCACTTTATTGATCATTGTGTTAAACTGGAAGTGGGGGTGGATTAAAAAAAAAAAGAGGAACTGGGTACATGCTTACAAACAACCATAAAAAGGGGAGAGAGAGCAGTGAGTGTGGGTTGAGGAAGAATGCTGAGAAACATTCTCAAAATTTGTAACTTCAGTATAGACCATTTAGTGTGGTCCCAACAGGATCATGGTTTAATGATGTTTAGAGTTCTGCCCATTTGTCAGGAGACAGAATGGTAGATGGAGGGTTATTGTGAATGCCCCGTTCCTTATGCAGCATGCATGGTGATGACAGTAAGTAGGATTATGTCAGATAGATGTGGAGTGGAGGGGAGGGTAGATCAGATGGAAAACTGGTTTGACCAATGGCGTTGAAGTTAGAAAACAGGTGTGTTCAGAAATTAGCAAATCAATTCGGTGGTATATGTAAGGTAAAAGAGTAATAGGGAATGATTTGCAAGCTGTTTTATGGAGGACCTTGAATACCTGGTAGGCACAGTCATCTGATGAATAGACTGCAAGTTTAACAGAAGCATGACATGTCGGGGAAAATATGCTCCTAAAGGTTTTTGGGCAGGGAGTGACATGAACTTAGCTCTTTTCAAAAGACATAGCAAAATGTAATCAGTTTCAGGTTCATACACCTCAGATTAGTATAAATAGTTTAAATATTGGCCATCTCTTGACTTGCTCTCCCTTGTCATTTCCTTCAGTGTATTGAATTCTTTTTGTCACTCTTTTAATATGTTAGCATATTTCTGTGTCTCTCTGTTTGCTGTCTATAATTGTCCATAATATAGAGCGGAAATCTTACCTTAACTTTTAGATATTTTATGTTCTTAATATTTACGGATATTTAAGTCGTTCTTTCTTGATTGTTCTTTTTTATTTTCTGTGTACTAATGGTTTTCTTTCTTTCTTTTTTTCTGGTGGCTGGCCAGTATAGGGATCCATCCAAATATTTGACCTTGGTGTTCTGACACCACACTCTAACCAACTGAGGTAACTGGCCAGCCCTGCCAATGGTTTTAAATAAAAAAAGATTCCTCACCTCTTTTTTACAATGATGTTAGAGGTTGGTAGACTTTATAAGTTTTTCAATTACTAATTATTTGCTTATAGTTTTTCCTATGTTATAACATTTAACTCTATGTGTTTATCAAGAGAGGCACAGCTGTGCCTCTCTTTCATATGTTTTTAAAGGAAATTCTCTGTCAGAGAGGATGACATTATTACAGCATGCTCACAGTCAGGCCCTTGAGAGGTAAAGACATAATGCTAAATAGCAATGTAGGAATAAGCAGTTTGATCTAAGTACATTATTAGTCTCTGATAATTCAGGGACATAATTTAGAGTATAGTACATAGAGGAATGAATAGACTGCAAACTAAGCTTTTGACAAAAGTTAGACAGTATTTTAAAAGTATTATATATAATATTATTATTATAGTAGATTATATTCACTAGCAAGACCTTACAATCTAGATATTATTCCTTGATTGCTGATTAAGGGCAGATCCATGTTCTTTGACAATTAACCAAGCAGAAAGTGGAGATGGTTGACATTTCTTGGTGGAAAATTTAGAAGCTTAATTGGGGCATGTACCTGAATAGATGCATAGCCACCCAGCCTTCTAAGGAGATGGACTAAGGGCTGTCTGTGGGTGGGGCCAAGATTTTTGTTAGGAATTTTTAGAATTACTTTATTAAGAGAACAGAGGGGTGTTCAAGTGCCCAAATTCTATGTCATAGAGCTTGGTTGGGATAATTTTAGCCAGGGGCACATTT